TGTCTACTGTTCACTTGACTCAGTTATCTATCTCTTCATTCTATCTGCATTCAAATTCGGTGACGAGGAACCTACTTTGAGACTAATAATGGCTGGAGACGGCTTGAATGTCGTAACGTTGTACATTTGCTGTTATGTTAAACTTATATTCAAGTTTTTCTTCATTACCCACTCAATCCGTCTCCAGCCATTATTATTCTATCTGTATATCAATTTCTCGCTGGCCTTATTTGCCAGGCTTATATACTAAAAAAGAGGGCGCCTGGCAAACACTCGGATATTAGCGAGGTTCCTCGATAAGTCATGATCCTTCTAGAAACTCCAGCACGCATGCTCCCAGCATTGTGTGACTTCTGTTGTCTTAACAATATTTACAGAACTGTAAAAAGATCTTGTTACTTGTAAAAATAATTAGAACGAACAAATGTTTGAAACATAATGAATTTAACAGTTCTAGCTTTGAAAATAATATCAGTGAAATGTTGAACAAGCTATCCACCCCCAGAGTTTGATGTGCATTTCTTTTTTTTTTTAAAGAAATCAATACAGATATGACAACAGTTACAATATGGTTTTATTCCTGGACAGTCTATTCACAGACACAAATAAGATGTATTGCCAAAACTGTTGTGAGAAAAATTTTTTCTTCAAGGTTGTCATCTTCTAATTTACCTGTTCTACCTGCATGAATGAATAGGTATATTCTCCCATTTGTGAAAGAATATATTTCTGACAATCCTAAGAACTAGTCAAGTATCACACAAAATGTAATGTTTCACCACTGAAAGCTTAGGATAATTGAGCTGAGGAAGCACAATATTTACAGATTCAAGGAAGTCTGGTAATTACCACACTGAGGCCGATATTAAAACAATAATGTTCAGCAGTACCACTTTTCAAAGTGTAAGCCTCTCCTTATTTTAAGTAATTTGCTTTACTATTAAACAAGTATTTCTCTAAAGTGGTAGCTCTTTTCTACTGCATTACAGAACAGAATTATTTCTCTTTAAGTTAAAGCTTATAGTACTTTCTGAGAATAATGTTCCAAGTCCCATGCTGTATTTGGAACCATTTCCTCCATCATCTAGATGGCCATGATTATACATTATTGCTTGACAATGCAATTTTGATTGTTACACACTCTTGCAAAGGCTGGTGAGATAAATCTTAAACCTCTCATGTTGACAGGCTTTTGTGGATGTCAACTTTTGAGGTCACTTAAAGCAGACCAAAGGTAAAAATTTCATTGGAGGTACATCAGACGACTTGTTAACTACTGTCAATTTCAAATCCTTGTTAACTTTAAAAAGAAATACATCCAGCTTCATTAAAATAGGTTTTTTTTATTAGAAGGGGTTTTCTTTTGTAATTTTAGCCCTCACTTCGTGAATCAAAGCATTGCTACTCATTGACTTGGGATGGGGTTTTGGAGCACATTATTGTCACAGACACATTACTGTGCAAGTTTTTCCACTTCCAAGGAGAATACAGAAGAATCCTTTCTTTGAAATGTTGTGACCTTTGTCTCTAGAGCATTTAAGTTTTTTTTTGTTCAAACATTCTTCTTTAGAAAGGGCTTTAACATACAAATACTAGCCACAAGTCTATCCATGGTAGTATTGCAGAGTTGAATAGTTAGGAATGCATCATGAACTACATTTATAGGTGCTAAACATTTATTTGTGACACCATGGCTTGTATGTGTGGTGATGAGCTACTGTATTAACACATGCAAATGTTTCATGTAAAATGCAGTTAACCTTCAAAATTAAGGGCTGAACATTTGCTGTATGTAAAATTAAGAATTGTTTAGTAACTTAATTTTTCTGGCTCAAATCATCATACAGATGAGGAACAAACAGAACAAGAAAATAAGTTTGTAGTTTGGTAAAGCTTCGGTGTTTTGTTTTACCCAAAGAAACATAGTTGCCATGATAGAATTTGTGATGTCATTGATATGAATGATTTTAGAAATGGTTAGAGAAGGTTTATTTTATAATATTTTAGTAACTATTGATCTCCTTTGACAAAATACAATTTTTCTGCAGATATTTTACTGAGGTCATTTCAAAATATATTTTTGAAAACAAAACTGCAAAAATCTGTAAAACAAAAATATTTTAGCATAGATCAATTAAATCTGTATTTGGCAAACGAGTGCATTCTAAAGATACTTAACTTTCTATGTAAATGAAGTGTTATGGATATTTGAGAATTCTCTGTGGTGCAGCATGTGGTAATATTTTCGACACTGTAGTACAAATAAGTTAAAGGAGAAAGATTCAGTTTGATCAAACTCTTCTAATGATATAAATCAACCTAACATCTTCAGCTCTAAAATATACATTACTACTCATTTAAAACTAGTACATTTATAAAAATGTTTTGAAAAACTATGTGCTTAAGCTAGAATCTTTAACCATAATCTTTTAAAAAAAGAAATTATAATAAAAAAAAGTGTGTTTTAATCTGAGAATTGGTAATAAAATAAGATGTTGGTAACACCATGACAAGATGACAATGTTCACAAGACTTTCAATGTTGGTTTTATTATTGTCATCTGATAGAGCAAAAACATTTTAATATTTTAAATTGGAAATGACAGACTGATCAATATCACCAGAAACTTGGAACATTACTATAAATGATAAGTACTGTTATAGTAAGCAATTTCTTTAGTGAACTTATTTTGTTGAAAATGTTAAACTAGAATAGTTTTACAGAAAGATTTAAAACTTTGCTATTACTTGTTTGGTCTTTGTGTTAGGATTTCACAGCAAGCTGATTCAGTTTTGAGTTTCTAACAGGTACATTAGTTATATTTCTGCATCCACTTTACACAAGTTGAAATAAACTTGGGGAGTTGATGAAGTAAAAACATTTTAAGACTACATTTTCCTCTGGTAATACTATAAAAAGCTGTGCATATGTAAATTATGTCAACAGATTATTGTTACAAGGTCTTTGTACATTTTTGGATTTCTTTAGATGTTAAAACTCCATCTTGCACTACAGCTGTTTATCTTCAGTTTTGGATTACACTTATTTTATCTTCAGCAAAATCTGAAAACAGTGTTACAAAGATATTGTTCACAGACTCTAGTTTCCAAGTGATGTGTTGTTTTACCAGGGTGTGTGAAAACTAGATTCTGTGAGCATTTAAGAGTATCAAACAGAACCAACTTTCCACTACTTAAACCCAGCCACTCATCCATTCATTCACAGGTTACAATATTTCATATAACGATTTTGCTATTATTACTATAGGATCTTAAGATCTTGAACTCTACATTAAAGAAAATTTACTTATAGCTAAAGATCTCCCTACTCTTAAAGACTCAACTCAACTGTTTCATAACATATTCTATAATCTGTTTGTTTCCTTCCATTTACCACTTTACTCAGTAATTGTGTAAACTAGTTATTAATGATACTATAGCATTAGTTAATATCTTTGTAACATTATTTTCTTATTTCACTGAAGATGGAATAAGTGTATTCCAAAACATTCAAATCTTGTACATAAAATATTTTATGTTCTGTCGACTGTCTTCATCTGTATTAGTAGACTTCATTTTCCATTGCTAATGTTGCTAGTTTAACAGAAATGTACATACCAAGTGCCCAAGATCATAGATTAAATAAACATCAGTGGAAAAATGATTATTACTTTCAAATTGTATATTATATTTTTCTGGGGAAAGAATGTCGATCAAGATGTAACAAATATTAAGTACACCCACCTCAAAGGTATGCAGTTAATAAAAGTAAATTGAATTATCTAATATGGTTGAACTGTGAAGTTTAGAAAGGCTAATCCAGTTCCATATGGATTACAATCCAATATAGAGATAAAGTTACCAGTACACTCATATTTGAACTTGAGTACTTACAAGTTTGCATTAGAATGTAAGCATAAACAGTGGATACAGAATCGCATTTTTAAACACTGCACTGAGAAAACGGGTGTGCTCAGATGTTTCACGTATGTTGTCTCTAGTCCTATACTCAACATTTTCAGTGTCTGTAGCAATTAAACATTCTGATGTTTTGGCAGCCATAAAACAGTCTGATTTATAACAAACGTTTATCATTTCAATATCAAGTTAGGCTGATTTCAACACTGAACCAGTATTTTTACCATTGCTATAGTAATGTTTACAAGAGCATCATTAGACATGACATGTCAGGAGCTGTAACATTTGATAGATGAAATAAGATGATTGGAAAAGCAGTTCCAGTGCTAAGAATAATTGTCAGTAGAAGCACTGATTATGAAATTTCCATACTTAACATGTTAATGATATTTGATGTGACTACTATTCATGTTCACTACTGCTTGCATTCATGGCTGAATAATTTTGTTTGATTTAGTGTGCATGTCACTATGCATACAACAATTTCAGGTGCCTCCATAGTTAGTAATTAGTAGGTGTGAGATCCGAAGACTATGCTGGCCATTGTGTGTGAAAAACGTGCTTGTTACTCAGTATCCAAAAATATGTTTGAGCAATGTCATTATGCAACAGCCACTGTTTTTTTTCCCCAGCTGCAAGTGTTGACCTGGTCATAAAAACAAATGTGTCTCATCAGTCCATAAAATGTTTATCCAGGAATTGGAGTGCAAGGGCTACCTTTTCTAGTTTATCTCCAGGTAGATGTTCATGGGTGATCTGTGTCCTATAGAGATGCAGCATCATCTTATTTATGATGTTGTTTGTAGAAGTCCATTGTGTGTGGCAATTTCAATAGTGCCGCATTCCACACTCTGATTTCCTTTTCCAACAGCAACTACTGTTTGTCTAAATTCTACCACAATTACAAATGTTTTATTAGCTTCCACTAACTTTATGCATAGTTATTTTTTTGTTATTTTTCATGTTAACATGATTTCAACACTGCATTAGTGTTACTATCATTGCTGATGATCAGCGATAGTCTGTTAGGAGCAATGAATCCTGGCACATTTGATCTATTTTATGCAGTTCTTAATATTCAAATTCAACAATAAGCACCCCACCCTCCGGAAAAGATTTTGCATTAGTATAACTTTCCCATTGTCTCAACTATCAAATATTATACCTTGCTGATAAGTTTTCATGTTATAAACATTAAAATAGGTTATCTACTTTATAACATTATTTGTAACTTGTCATAAGTATAATACTACAAATTCTGCTTATACTTTAATTGTTTTGTGCTGTGTATGAAACCTTACAATGTACTGTGTCACAAAGCATGACCAGCATATACACATTTTAATGTTTTTTTTATTGGCTAATAGATACACGTACATGAAAATGCATTTTCCATGATTATTTTTCTAGAAAAAAATGTGCTTGTTAAAAAATACTCAAATGGAAAACTATGAAACTACTATTCAGCATATGCAACAAAACATTCAAAAATATTCTGAATACCAATGATTATTAAAAAAATACATATGATAACTGGTGAGATAGAATGAGTTCTAATGTAGAAAAACAAGATATGAAAAATTGGTACACATATCCTTGTAGCATTATTTCCTTTGATAATATACACATTACCAAAACATTGAAATAATATGTTACACAATCCTCCAATAATCAAGTTTTGTGTTTTATCATGACTAAGGGTAACCTGTCAGAATTCCTTCATGTCTTTTCTGAATTTGAATTTTGACTCACTCTTAAAGAACCCCTAAACTTGCCAATTTTAAGATTTTTCCCCCCCAAATCATAAACTGTAAAATAATACTGAAATGTTTGCCTTTAAAGTTTATGATTTTTGTAAATAAAACAAAAATTGTTCCCAAGATCCTTTATTTGGAAAGTTGATCTTTATTTAATACATAACATAGTTTGAAATTTTAGGTGATAAAAATTTCACTATATAAAAGGCTTCACAGAAATACCTTGACATCACAGTCAAACAATAAACAACAAATAAATAACTTGTGTAAAACCACCTTCAAAAAGTTTGAACATATGCAAAAAATGTGATATGGACAAGACATAAAAGAATGCACCCTAAAACATATACTGAATACCATAAAATCATAAAAACTCAAGCTCACGCTCAATTCCCACAAACTTCAACTGTTCTGTAGGGCCATATCTAAGTGGAAAAATTCAATAATTACACGTGTGGCACTAATATTACAAACACCATATGATCACTAATTATATTAATTTATAATATAAGCTTTATCTAGTAGAAAAATAATTATTAAGTAATTATGGATATTAATGAGAAAACTCCTAGATTTGAAATTTTTTAATGTAAGCTAACTATACATTTTCCACCCATTTAAACATTTTTCTTCATAACCATTATTGTTAATAGGTCTTTATACTTAACCTGTTTAAAAAAAATAATAATACCTAAAAGCACTTTTAGATGAAATGAAAAGTTTGAGTTAGACTGTTTCCTGATGATCCTGAAACCAAGTCAGACTGCTACCCAATACTTTTAAAATCAAGTCAGACTGCTATGTAATGCTTTTAGAATCAAGTCAGACTGCTACTTGGTTCTCTTTGAATCAAGTCAGACTGCTATGCAATTCATTTAAATCAAATCAGACTATCACCCAATACCCTTAGAATCAAGTTTCATATTAGACTTGATGTCATTCTGTGTTTCAATAACATTCAATGTATTACAATTAATATTCTTCTACACAATTGTTAAGAACTTCTAATTAGAATTAAGCCAACGAGTTTAATTTCTGTTGTCAGTCAATAAGAATTTGGTTTGATTTGAATTTTTCTCAAAGCTACACGAGGGCTATCTGCTCTAGCTGTCCCTAATATAACAGTGAAAGACTAGAAGGAAGGCAGCTAGTCATCACCACCCACCGCCTGCTCTTGGGCTACTCTCTTACCAATGAATAGTGGGATTGACCATCGCATTATAACACCCCCATAGCTGAAGTGTGAGCATGTTTGGTGGGATGAGGAATCGAACCTACTACCCTCAGATCGTGAGTCAAGCGCCTTAACCACCTGGTCCTGCCAGGCCATCAATAAGAAGCATAATATATTAGTTCGTAACTATTTTATGCAACACATCACAAACAGTATATATATATATATATAACTAAACAAATACTTTGCAACAGTCACATAGTTGTTCCTGTTTCTAGTTCTCAAGGTTAAGAATATAAATATATACGCACACACATGCATGCATGTGGAGCTTTACTTGTACGATATGAAAAACTGAAAGTGAAACTCAGATACTGATAACTATTTCAATGGTTATAACCTATAACAATGAACTTTGTGTGTGTCCTATAGGTTAGGCTTTTAGTAAAATAAAGGATAAGCTCAGAAGAAGTAAATACAATTAAATGACATTTGTAAAAAGAAAAACAAAAACTTGAGTTTGTTAAACACTTTTGAGTATCAATCTGTTTAAGCTTCTTTTGAAGAAGAAATGACAGACAAAAATATTTATTAATAATAAACATGATAAAATATTGGCATAAAATGATTATTTCTATATTTTCTTAAATTCAGTGCAGAGAGAATACATAAAAATATTATCCTCCAACAAATTAAGCCCTTCTGTGATTTGCCCGAGATAACTCTGGCAAACCATTTCTCCCCATATTTTTAATTACTTGCTCAAATTGATTTGCATGTTATTGTTATCATATATTACAATACACTATTAAAAAACAAAATAAAAAACTGACTTTTTTTAGCTCACTTGCAAAAAAAAAAAAAGCCCGATGCAGAAGGAGTACCGTTGTGGTAGATCTAAAAGAAGTAAAGCTTTAAACTCATTCAATATACAAGAAATTAACCTACTGTTCTATATAAAAACATACATTTCTATTTGATATAAGACCACTCATAATCAAGCTGAATTCTTACCTGTAATCAAAGAAAAGCTCTTCTCCTGATTGAATAGGACGCTTGGCAAAAATTCCAATACGATGATCCCCATTAACCATCTTCACTCTGGCATAGCAGTTAGGGTTCACAGAATGATTAGCAAATCTTATCTTGTTACCCTTTCTTGTTGCATCAACAACAAAATCTGGAGAAAAATATATATATTTGATATCAATACACACACACAGTTATATTCATAAAAATATCATAGCAAAAGTGGCATATTCATTTTATTCTTTCAAGTGTACTGTATTTATCCCATTCAGTAGTATTATACTATTCAACTAAACCAGAAAAAAATAAGTATTAGTCTTTTAACTGTTACAGAATTCCATACCACAAAATTCTTTCTTCACAGTTCAACATTCTACATGACGAATTTCTGACTGATAAAACCCAAAATCATGGAGTCTGAATAACAACACAAAAACTTATGTTCAAAGTAAAGTTCAGAAAGCATTAAAATAGCATTTACAAGAACAAAGTTTTGGCATATTTAGTGGGTTATTCTTATTATAGAGTTTAATCAAAAATAGCATTAACAATAGTATACAGGATGAGAATGTGCCCAATGTGGGTATGAGACCTATGCGATAATCTCTAATTAAAAGACCAATAAGTGAACCATGTATAACAAAATAGCATAAAATTTCTTGATGAGTTTAATTTTGTTAACTATATTTTAGAATTATACTTATAGACATTTCCAGGAGACCAAAACTATCTTGCTGTGTGTGTATAACCCAGTAGCTACATTTTAACATATATTTATTTTTCAACAGTCTTGTAGACCAGCTGAAATTCTTGTGGACCACTCTATCCCACAGTGTCCCCTTGTCTCACCACCTTTCATCTGTGCAGTTCGCTGTAGGAAGATGACAATCCTGTAGCAACTATGAAAACAACAGAGTTGGGTGATGAGTGGAATTTGATAATCAATTAATTGTCAGGCTCATTAGTTAATTACATTCAACTAATTGATTAGTCTCATACGAGACTTGGATAGTTGGAATAACTGAAAATACTCACCTCGATTAGTTGATTATTTTAATGACAGTCAATTTAATAATAATTTAGTTTAAATTATGTGACACTAATTCAGTCCTTCACTTTTGAAAAATGCACGAGGGCTGTAAACAGCCCTCACCAAACAGTACATGGAGTAGTTAGCAGGCTGATGCTTTATCTTGATTCCTTGTTTTGTTGGCTAAATTGAGACATATTCACAACATGCTACTTGAACTATGACAACCACTGGTCAATTTGGCAATCCCTGCAGCCTTGTTTTATGCAGGAAATAGTTTATCAAATGCAATTTAGGTCATGATAAAACTTGCTAATACGCTTCTTATTAGTCTGAATTTGCTAATAATTAATATACAATTTTGTAATTTAAACTTTAAACTATTAGCTTAAGTTTCTCAATTACAAATATTTGATGTCTATATACAACAATATAGTCATATTACATTGCATGTAACGTTGCTAGTCTAGGCCAATTAAAATTAAAGTATTGGAGTCATAGCAGCCAACAAAGTTACACAGAGTTAATTATCTGTGAGCTTGTCTATATATACAAGCACTAGCTGATTACATGACTAATGCCATGACAAATACTAATAGGATCTGAATTCAAAAGTATATACTTCTTGGTTAGAATAAAAGGCCCAAAACAGTGTCATCATGACAGACTTGAAGGGGGGTTCTATCAAGCCCTCACAAAACTCATTGTATGTGGGCTATCGAACGTCAGTATGATGGCGCCTGTTAACTGATATAGTCGATGCTTACAGGTAATCAATTAATCAAGTCAGTCACCCAGCTTGAAACAAAACAGCTAAGAGAATTTATAAATATAGCTGGGTTATATATATATACACAAACACATTACGTATATATGTATGGAACAACACAGAGGGTGAGAATGTTGTATTAAAACGATTTTGAATATGCAAATCAGCAAGTAATGTGAAACCCATAGCTGATATGAAACAGATAAAATGATGTCACTGAAAACTGATTTTTGGGAAAATTATGTAACAGCCCTTTCTGACACAAAATATTCATACACTTGGATTATGAAGAAGTGTTCAGATTGAGGAGCTGAAAGTCCAAGACCGTGATATCACTTGTACATAATGAAGTTAGAAAACAAATGAATATGGATTAACTTGTAGACCAATGACCATCTAGAAAGTCTGCAACAAGTTGTACCAGCCATGCTAAGCAAAGTATCATGTCTTTGATCAAGCAAGAATCCAGGAAAATAAACATCAGTAGCAAAAGCCACCCACATACCCCAGGCAACAGTATACAACATAATGAAGAAGGACCTCTGTCTGGAAATGAGGCCAAAAGAGTATGGGTTCACCAAGATAAGTTTACTTGAAACAACTGACAACTTACAATTGTCAGAATAACTTCCACTCAACTATTGTTGTATTGCTTCAAAGGATGTCCATACCTGTACTGTAATAGCTACACACAATAAATGGAATGAAGTCTTCACACAGTAATATACAGCATGTCCAGAAATTATTTACTTGTGTCTTAGATTGTTTGTTTTAGAAGTTTTGTGCAAAGCTACACAAAGAACTAGCTGTGTATAGCTATCCTTAAATTTGAACTAAAAGACCAGAGGGAATGCAACTAGCCATCATCACCCATCTCCAAATCTCAGGCAACTCTTGTCTCGCTGAATAGTGAGATTTGACCATCACACTTATAGTATACACATGGTCCCAAAGTGTCAAGCATGTTTTCTTCCAGCAAAAAGTCATAAACACTGAATTCTCAGCTTCACAGACTAAACACAATAATCACTAGGACACGCCTGACCTTGTGCACCAGAGGTATGATCCTTTAACCTATACTAGTAAGGGTATTAGAATTCTATTAGACCAATGGAGGTAGATTACAGTGTACATAGAATGTCTTGGAAGAATGAGCTGATAATATTGTTCAGTTGACAAAGTGTTAGGCTACACATTTGCAAGAACAAATGATAATATAAACAGCTAGTAAAGCAAGGTTCTCTATATAACAGGGCCGCATTAACTGTGGTGCAGTTGCACCAGGGCCCCAAGTGGTGAGAGGCCCCTACTGATGATCCGGACTGTCAGTTTAACTTTCTCTTTTTTGATAAATCTTTATCTGTTATTTGTTCTATTCTTACTCAATACAGACTAGATCAGTTTGACCGACCTTGTAACCACCATAAAAAAGTACAAAATAAATCAAAATTACCATTTTTTCTTTCTATAATTACTTCAAATTGTAGCAGGAAACAACATTTCTTTACATTAAATAGTTTGGAAAATCAGCTTGTTGCATATAAAAGCAACAGAAATGAAGTTTGGTTTTCTATCTAATTTCAAAACTTTAAATGAGACATTGCTGGGCGGATGGTGTTTCATGATCAAAAAATTTTGCAAACTGTGTCATTTCATTGGGAAAAGATCTGTCTCCCAATCTTTTAGCTGCAGCAAAAATTTCAGCATCAAAGCAATTACAAAAACAAACTGGAATCTGTTTTTCCTAAAGTTGACATGGCATGAAGAATATACTTTTTCTAAAATGGCTAGAGTAAAAAATGAATTGCGTGCTTCAATGTTAAATGAATATCAAATTCCCTTTCCTTGCTCACGATAGAAAGGACATTGCTTAGGCAAATAGATTATGAAGATGTAATTCGAGATTTTGCTTCTGCCAAAGCAAAGAAAAAACGACTGTAGGGTAATGTTTTGGCATGCTTCCATAACGTTGTAGTACAATAACTATATTATTTTTTATGTACCTAATTCATTCTTACTTGCCATGTTGTATAAGTAAATAATAATTATTATAGTCGTTTAATTTTAATATATCATCCTTAAAAGTTAGATGCATCATATTCTAATTTACTTCGAATAATTAGCCCATATTCTGTAGTTAACTTAATATGTATTAATCATAATTAACTTCAAATTGGCTTGTACCCTATTGAAGGGGCCTAAAAAAAATATGTGCACCATGGCCTCAAACTACCTTAAAGTGGGCTTGCTACATAAATATTCTGCTCAAAAATGTTTTTTTCACAAGTAACTCACCATTGTTAAGGTTGAAGAGAAAGCTGCACATATACTTGTCATATACTTTGCCTCGTCGTTCAGCTTCATCTTGAGATATTATCTAAGAAAAATGTAGATACGTATGCAAAACAAACCTACATAATAATTTCTGAACTTATGTTAATGATATAAGAATAAGTTTTACAAAACTTAATGATGTGCAAAAACAGATTAAGCCCATTAAAGTTACCTAGATGTACAATATATATATATATAATATTCACTAACTTTGGCAAGATACACAAATTACAAGTAATGTTCACTAGACTTACTACAATGATATGCACAATACAGATAATGTTCATTAAACATACCAAGATATTAAACATACACAGTCCTAAGTCAATTCACATTGTGCATGAATGTGTTTGTTTATAAACTCCTACTACAATTTTGGAGCTAGTAAAACCAAACCTGGCAGTTGGACTTGGACTGGCCTGGGGGTGTACATATCTATATGGCATAGTGTCCTTTACCAAGGGGGAGCTAAAATGTGCCCAGGTCACATGGGTATGTTGGGGGAGAAGGTTTTTCAGCTGCTGAACCAAAATTTGGCATTGGATTTTGTATTCATGACCCTTCTTTAAATACCAGGTTTGAAACTGTGTTCACAATCCCACTCACAAGGAAGAGGAACCAACTTCACACACAAGCTCAGGTATCATGGATGTGTGTCCTAATGACTATTTTTTTCAGGAACGTAACCCCTTGTGGTAGTTATAGAAGTAACTGGGGCTAATGAAGGAGCTTGATCAGTACAATGGGACCTTTGTGAATGATGAGAGGGTCTTTGAACCCCTGAGAAGAGCATGGGTATTTTATGCTAGTACAGATAATGTTCACTGAACCTACCAGGATGAGCTAAATAATAACACCAAAATCATATCCAAAATACAGGTTTAGTTCACTAAACTTTTTAAAAAGACACATAATAAATGTTCCCAAAATTTACTGAAACAACCTACACAATATAAATAATACACACTAAACTTACTGAAATGGCATTCACAAGTAATATATACTAAACTTATGCAAATAATATTCAATAAACTTACTTAAATGACATTACATAATATTTTGGGACAACATAGGACCTATTGGTCCATCTCGGTTGTTCCATCCTCAAAACTAAATTAAAATGATTAAATAAAATAAAAACTTTTAAACCCAACTCTTTTTCATTCATATAATTATCAAGCTTTTCCTTAAACTCACTTAAATTTACTGCCTCTACAACATCTGAAGGCAAC